AATAAAAAGATTGGCGTGAGTCAGTCAAGTGATACTTAAGGGAAAAGTGAATTCAAAGATCTGGAAGACTAGAACCCGTAGGACAAGCTCGCCTGTTATATGTCTGATGAATTTCTGTAGGGCCAATCGGGTAGCACCTCGACAAGGACCTCAACAAACTTGTAGACGGTAGGAGTAGAAGCATTTTTAATAGTTTTGGTTTAGGTTTTATTCTGACAATTTTTATTGCGATCCGGATCGAGCCACTGTCTTGTGACAGAATTGAGTTACTGAACTGGGTTACACACATGAATTGTTCACAGAAAATTAGTTTTCCATCCACATGGCCTGTCTCTTTGTCAATCCTTAGGTTGTCATTAGGGATTTCACTGGTGCTCCAGGCCTCATAATCAATGACGGTCCGCATATAGATGCTAATGTACTAAGCGTTAAGTGTTCCCTTAGCACTAATCTAGTATTTACGAAAATAATAACCGATGGGCACTGACTATGTGGTCTAAGTGCGTGGACGAAATCTTGATAAAATACTTCATGACTTTCCTCTGTATGTATGTTTTTAGAAGCGCTAACCACAATCTTTGGATATTAGTATTTAAGAGATGTTAGTATCCGCGTTTGGTGTCGACACTGTGTCAGCTATCGCTCGATTAATATGCCTTGCCATATCTGTAGACTCTTCGTTATGCTGCAAGGAATCTATCCGAAATCATGCATGCTATATGCATGATATCAGGTGATTCAGTCAACCGACGCTAGTGAAAATCCGCTCGACGCGGCCCAGGGGCAGTGTTTTTGTGAAAGTTTTATTTGAAGTGGGTATTCGGCAATTTGTTGCCTGAATAGGAATGACGTGTTGGTATCTGTTTGGGTTAGTTATCAAACCACAACATGGGTCCTATTGGCTAATTTGGCTTACTGAATGTAGTCTGTAACCAGTGTTTAGGGAATTTTCTACAACTTTGAGTTTTTTTTTGATAGGAAATTCAAGGGGTCTGGTTAACAGGTATTTTGAGTAGTGGATGAGCAGAATAATAGCCGCTACCTCGCTGTACTGTTTGTCTAGAAGAAGTGTTTGGACATAATTGGCTTTCCACTTAAATTAATTAGGACTGCATCTGACAGCTTCGTCTATCATAATCGACTTTCTCTTAGAAATACGACTTAGAGGTGATTGCGTCTACATCGTATCTACATTATTTTGGTATCTCCTTTCTTATGTTTAACTGTTTGATGATGGTTAACAGGGCAGCCAGCACATGCTATATACAATTTCTCTGGTTCAGACACATCCGGTGCCTTACTGTTCCTAATGGAAATTGGACGTTAATCATTACATCTAGGGAACTTGCCTACTTGGGTAGCTTGATTGAATTGGCACTTCACAGCGGATGGATTGTCAGACTGAGGAGTAACTGACTTCTAAGGAGATGAGTGGAATGACTTTTAATGTCTTCTGGCTCCTGATGTTTGTGTCAGTGTACAAATGATGCATTTCAACATTATGTTCTGTTGATTCATCTCTGTCTACCATTTCAATGTCAGCATTAGTATCTTTATATAGTACTTGGCTAATATTTGTCTGTGCCTGCGAATATGTTTGATGGACACTGTCATCAGGTATTTCACTAGATGGAATACTACAGTTGTCCTATGATGGTTAACAGCCTTCAGTCTTCCTGAGCGACATCGTTTTCGGCATGATGTTAAATTACGTGTAACCCTGATGTAAGTGCAGGGTGTTGAAGAGCCCATTATCTCATCCGTTATCAGAAAATTCCTAATTCTTCAGTAGACCCAAACTTGAAAAGCACCGGACACTACTGGTCTGAGGACTTCTTAGGAAGACGCGAAACTTGACAGTCGCCCAACGACATATTGCGAGCCTTTAGCAATGATGTTCTACGTTCGGGGATAATTTCTCTCTCTGGAATGTTATAAGCCAAGACTTTATGGGAAAACATAACCGCCTAAACAGCTTCTTCAGCCAGATAGTCAATTTTGTATTCGGATGAGATAAGTGATTCTAGACAGGTGTTTTACGATGTGACACACAGAGCTGCTTGGAAGGCATAGTGCTGACCAACTTGCTCTGTAGATCTGCTGTCGATTTCTGAAGTATCATTAAATCATCTTTGCTACGAGTCACATTATCTTTCAATTCCTCCATGATATCACATACCATACTTTGGGTGTGCTTGATGGTAAAAGTGTAGAATCATCTGAGGAACTGAGGCCTTCATATGGTTAACGAGTATTAGATGTCAGTCTCTCAACGATACTTACACGTTTGACGGACATAATCATTTGAGAGACAGTTTCCGGAAAAATATTCTTGAGGATATAAAAAAGATTGCTGTATTATCGAAGCATCAAAATCAACAATAAACATCTATATACTGGAAAATAAAAAGTCATAATTTCCTTTATTAGTACTTCCTGGGAATAAAATGTTAAGCTCGAGGTGGTTAGAAAGGATATCATAAGATTCCGGATTGTTGATTAAACAAGTGAACACTATATATAGTTCCAAATGACAGAAAACAATCTTTGTGGATATTGTGAGGAATGCGGCTGATTTCCAAAATAATATGGAAAGATGACTCACTCAGAAACAGAACACTTGTAGCGCGACAGTACTAGCTATTTTAAAATCTTTCAGTGAAGCTTTATTTACGGGGATACTGATATTCAAATCAGTTCCTAGTTCCATTAGAAGGCACGTTTCTTGTGAAGTTCGCTGTATGCTACTGTTAATACTAGGTGATTGTTGCTGTGCACCATCCACTTTCGGTAAATTCAAACCAGAGGAGGTGACCAGATAACTACTACGCATTATTCTACGTTTATACAGTATTTTCCGTGAGCGATGCTCACTCACTTATAACTATTATTCACTCTTAATTGATCCTGAAATTTAGTACACCCACTAGCATCAAGAGAGTTAGTAAACTTAAAATTGATTGGAAAATTAGACTTTCTCGAATTTCTACTCAGTCGTTTGCATTCACACTGCACACAACCCATGCTGCAACAATCCAGGATTTTGTTTTTATAGTGTTTAAAGGAATTGACTATGGGATATTGTAAGCTATGGCCTGATGAGATGAGGCTATACGCTTCATCCTTTCGGCCGTCAAGTAGGCGATGAGATTTTCTGCTTTATCTGGGTTTTCCGGAGAAATTTAAAGGTGTTTTTACAAAAGGCAGGCTATTGTGTCTGGTTCGGAGTTACATGCAGTAAACACTTATCTTGGTCAATATCAGAACGGTTTTCCGTGATATATAAGATTGGCCGTGTCATGTAATCCAGTAGAAAAGTGTTTTTCTTTTGAATTGAGAATGTTGTCAGTAATACGTTAATGAACTAGAGGTTACTTACTACCAGATACTACGTCTAACTCCTTCCCCTGAATCAATAGCTGTGGAAGACTCAATAGTAATTAAGGTATACTGACTGTGTCAAATATTGGGACGTTAGAATGGAAAGATAGCCGATGAAATTCCAACAGTTACGTTACTCAACTAATTATTGTTTAAGGTGACATTTTCTACTGAGGAACAAAAAGAATATATTTAACTTCGAGGATTTTTCTGTGCCGACGCACACCTGATATATACGGTCGGCCTGCGAATTTTGGGCTACCGATATCCACGCTGAAAATTCCACACTTGTACCAAAAATACGGTGTGGAGTCAAGCTGTAATCAAAAATAAATAAAATAAAAAATAATACATTATGGGTGCGGAGAATTCAAAAATACTTTATCTATCTGCTGTAGAACTCAATGATTATCTATGCACATGATTTTACCGATGCAATCATTTCGCAAATAAAAAGGCGTTATTCTATGAATGAAATTGCTGTTTTATTTATAACGATTGAAAACAAAATAAAAAAATTTTATTTAAAATTGTTTGTAGAACAAACAAGTTGTTATGTTTTAAAAAAAGTTAAAAAATTATGAACTTCATAGGATCCATTTTTTTTTGAAAATGCCCAAAAAATATTCATTTCACAAAATGGGAGTTGTTCATCGCCTCTCTGAAATCAAACGAAGGAAAAAAAAATGAGATCAACAGTCGTCAGTAAGTGAAATATTTCGATTAAACACTTATTGGGAGTTCAAAGAAACATTCCGTTATACTAAATGAGCACAGTATAACTGAAAATGAGAGCAAATCCAGAGTTCCGGACTTATTTCAATCTTAATCGGACACCCGATTCCCCATGACATCGAAAGGAATATAACATTTATCTTTGTGTCCCTTGTTCTCAGATTAAAACCTTTTGCAGCTTCTAACGCATGCCAAAGGAGCATCCAATCATATTGTAACGACATAAGACAAGGGCCAGGCATCAGATCCTTTATTTACAAAATCAACATATACTTGTAGATTTTTATGGTAATTATTATTTGTTATTGTTAGCAGAAAAGTCAAGTCTTCTGATTGGTTGATTAACTGCTCAAGTTATCCTATCATCTCTTTGTTGCTGTTTCTTAGACAGTCTGGTGATATATCTGAAAAGTTCATCCACTTACGCCAAGTCTGCTGTGATTGATTGCTGAGTTCCTCAAGGTTAGTCTTTGTTATCGCTTTTTCCCATGAACAAAATATGGGACGTAAATTGCTGTCTATCAATTTCAGCTAGCAGACTGCACTCACCACAATATTAGTGAATAAACCGTAATTCTGATTATTTTCCTGACTCATTTCTTACTCCATGAAATCGTTTATTCATTTCTCTGTCCTACTTATAATATTTGTTATTTGTATTATCCTAATACAGATTAAGGTATTTTATAGTTTTCGACACTACAATACACGCTACTTATTAGTAGTAGCTTCATTTTTTCTTAATTCAATGAAGTGTTAAGGTATTAAGCAAAAATGATAAATCGAACTGCTGAGTGTAGAAGAAGAATCATTTTTAGAGTTTAGTTTCTAATGGTTTATGTATTAGTTTACCTGCAGTTAATTTTGATTGAGGTTTTCCTTGATTAACCTTAAAATACAGGAATTATAATTTGTGAATAAAAATTGTAAAATACAATAGTAGTTAATATTAACTATGGGATATTATGATACATCGCTTTAACGTTTAGATGGTAAAGGGTTTATTTAGTGGCCAGTGGATGTCTCAACGCATCACAAACCAAGTAGATTCAGTAATCAGACCTAGTGACTGAAATTATTAGGAGAAATTCGCCACCTCTGCTGAAAAGAGGAAACAATGGATTGATCATTTCAAGGGACAGCTGAACCGATCAACAATTTTATCTCAATGAATCTTAAGTAGTAGGAAAAGAGGTCTGGAAAATGTTGACTTCAAGGACGATTTGATGTCTGTGCAAGAACGAGCACTCTTTTGTAGGAAGCAGAGAAGGCAGTGAACATGCGGAAGACATATGTGATTAAGACATATAACCAAGAGAAACTGGCACTGATTAGCCTCACTGATAGGAATTCGAACAAGGTCACCACTTGGATTCATTTTGACAGTAACAATTTAACTGCAGGCGGCATTAGAATTTCAGAAAGCGAACAGAAAAGACAAGATACACCCTCACTAATGCACGAAGCAGAAATTACAAGAGTTGTATTATCAACACTTATGCCAGGTTCGTATGTCTACATTCCTTAGAGTCCTGTTACCTCACGGGAAGTATTTTAAACAGGGTTCAATCTTTTATCAACAGCTGCATTCAATTCACATCAGATAGTTGATCTGATAGTTGATCAGAAATGATTAGTAATAAAAAACTTCAACCAATGAACAGTTATAGAAAAAAACATGTTGTCGGGGCCTCACATTTCAGTCGGAATCATGTATAATAATAATGACTGACATATGAATAGAACTTGTACACTATGGTACAGTATAATTCCATTGTAGATAAAATTTATTTTGATACAGATTCACAATCTTATAGAGTAATACTTACTGATGATGTTTCACGCAAAATTTATTGCTCATAATCATGTCAATTTACTCACACAACTTTCTAACTTCTTTATTATGGTTTCCTTGTCGCTCATCTCTTGATAATTTCCATATTTGTCGTAAAAGTAAGGAGTCACTCTTGCTCCACAGCTGAATATAAAATCATAGTGAAAATTGCAGAGCTGAAGCTCAGCACCTTCAATTTTACTCAAGGACTCAGTGAGTAAACTGCCTTTAGGTAGAATGTGTCAAGATATTAGTGAATTTTATGCCTGCTAACGAAATGTTCAGATGAATCGGCCTGCTGTTAAATATGGATAAAGTATCTGTACGCTTGGGCCTTTTATTTAGTGCGATGAGATATCAGCAACTTCCTGATACTGCCTATTTTTCTAAATCTAACCTCAGTTATGACTTCTGACACTTGTGTGCATTTGTGCGTGTATTATGCTCCTGGTTGCTATTATCCAACTAAAGGTGATAAATAGATTGCTGACATGCCATTAAGATAAATAAATGATCAAATATGTGGTTAGTATATTGAGTAGTGTTAGGGATTGGTATGACGGAATTCAAGTCAGATGACACTTGTTTATCAAGGAGTACTGGAGGGCGATTCAAACTGTATTTAATGCCTTTTATCAGATGTATCTGCTGACAGAGAAAATCAGAGAAAAATCAGCAACAAAGATATCTGGGAGCGAACCAACCAGGAACCGACTGTGAAACAAATAGGCAGAAAGAAATGGAGATGGATTGGCCATACGCTGAGGAAACCATCAAGTGACATCATTAGACAAGCCCTCGAGTGGAACCCGAAAGAGAGGCGGCGAGTTGGTCGTCCAAGGGTGACTTGGAGGAGGTCATGCGAGGGGGAGATGAAAGCATGTGGACAGACCTGGAGCAGGGTGAAAAAGTTGTCAGAAAACCGAAGGCAATGAAGGTGCGCAGCTGAAGCCCTATGTTCCTCTAGGAACTAAAGGATACAATAATAAATAATAATAATCTGCTGACGTTAGCTGTTAGTGCTGAATATAAAGAATTTTAAAAGGACAAGCCTCTGGATTCCATCTCATTGACTGGAGAACAGTTTTCATCAGCTTTCGTCGCATTCAACAGAAAATCTACTAGATGGTAAATATGATGAAAGTATCTTTGAAAGTTCTTCGCTTTATATGATTGTTTCTAAGTGGCTTATTTATTCATCACTGCGTGTGGTAAACATCTGTACTCTTCCATGGTGAATGGTAATCAACAATATTTAATAATTAGCAAGATGTTTAAACATGTTATGAGCTTACCGAATCTCATTGCGGTTTTTGCCTTCTCTGAGATTGAATTAAAACAATTATATAACCGATTATGAGTAGGTTTTAATGTAAATTTAAAGTATACTAATTTAGAAAAGAGAATAAATATATACCCAAAAAAGTCTACCGATGTTTCAGTAGGTTAATCATTGCTTGAAATAGCCGTTTATGAGTGTTTCTAAAATGGAATAAACGCTCTCTTCAAATAAGTCTTGAAAACTGAGTAGCCTATGGCGATAGATATATTTAATACTACCAATGTCTAAGTCATTGTTTGGTATACTAAGGTGATTTGAACAAATTTTATTGGTATTCGAAGTTTACAGACCATAGGTATTAGGAATTTCCTGGAATAATGCCATATTATTATTTTTTTTTGATTACAGCTTGATTTCACACCGTATTTTTGGTACAGGTATGGAGTTTTCAGCATGGATATCGGTAGCCGAAATTTTCCAGGTCGACCATAGATATCAGGTGTGCGTCTGCAGGGGGTGGAACCTCGGACCATGTGCATGGTCGGCGAGAGTCCTAACCACTGTGCCACCAACGCACTATGCAGAAAGTTCGTGAACTAATCCCTTCATGAACTGTCGAAATCTTGCTTTACGGGTGAATATGAAAAACACTTCTATTATGAAAATAGTATCCACGCTAACAACATTATTGTAGCATTATCCATAGAATGAAATAAGATAATTGAATTGTGTTTCCTATCATGATTCATGGGAAGTTGCATGACTTTATTGTGAACACAGTTGATAGACTGCTGTGCAACCGTTGACGAAACGTTCATCGTCTCTAAACTAACCGATTTGTTTACGAGCTGGCGTAGGCTTTGCAACATATTCTCTAGTCAATTATTTATTATTACTTTGCATAAATTTTTGAACGGCGTCTATTTCGATGAAACCAAGTTCTGTAATTACGTGGCGTACAACACCATTGCCACAAAGAAGAATTCCAACAGGCTAACTCAGACCTTTATCAACAACTGTCTTCCCTCTATACTGAAGATCGGATGGCCGGGTCGGAAAGAATCACCAACAAGAAAATATGGGAACAAACATAACCAGAACCAATTGCCAGACAAATATGCAGGAGAAAGTGGAGATGGATTGGAGGAGGCCAATGGGTGACATCGCACGTCAGGCCATTGCTCAAGTGGAATCAGGCCGAAAGGGAAGCGGCGAGTGGGACGTCCAATACTGACACGGAGGATAACGTGTGAAGAAGATTTGAAACAGTATGGACTAACTAACATGCAGAAGACAGAACCAAGTGGAGACGTGCAGTTGAAGCCGTATGTTCCACTAGGAACCCAAAGGAACAATAGTATTAATAATAACAACACCATTGCTGACGAAACTCCACTTTTGGTATCAATAGACATAGTCTGTATGGATTCTGGATTCATCTCTTCTCATTTTTCAAGGAAGTCAAAAACGAACAAGTTGTGTATGACATGATGATAACAGACAAATAAAGTGTCTTTAGGAATTAATAAATAGCACGTTCCCAGTCAATGAAGCTTGATAATATTTTCCAACTGATCTGACCGAAAATTCAGAACATTTTTATATGTTTACGCAACACACTGAGCTTTTCACTAAGCGGATATTTTCAACAACTTTTTTTCAAATGTCTCACAAGCCAAGAGTAATACTACTACTACTACTACTCTTCAGCACAAATAATCTGCGTCGGTGGCACAGTGGTTAGGACTCCCGCCGACCATGCACGTGGTCCGGAGTTCGAGCCCACGCCGACGCACATCTTGATATCTATGGTCGGCCTGCGAATTTTGGGCTACCGATATCCACGCTGAAAATTCCATATGTGTACCAAAAATACGGTGTGGAATCAAGCTGTAATCAAAAATAAAATAAATAAGCACACCGACTGCAGCAATATAACATGATAAGCAGTTGATGACTGTCCTGTTATTGATTGAATTATTAATTTAAATTTATTTCGTCTTTGATACTTCATAAAACACTAATCCTTTTGAGTTGAGAACATCATTCACAATGAAACACTTGAGATTATTCACTTTCTGTAACAGAGTGAGGACAGTCATTTCTTGGAGGTTTAATTTACCCTTAAGAAAGCACCATTAGATATATTAAAAGCTCTATAAATAAGTCTCATCATTTTCAGGAAATAGAATGTTAGTTTACCTTCTTTTAATTTCCGAATAAAATCCTTAGTTTCTAGGAGAAAAATTAATAATGAGGGAAACTCAGATTGCTGAAATATCAATCAATATGTGACGTTATATTGTAAAAGTGAGTAGCTAATCTACGATAGCAGCAGTTGTATAACATAAGCGTAATAAATACAAATGTTTCATACAAATGTACACATTACTGTTGAAAGTGATTCACATTCCACGAAGTCGGTAGTATAGATCATTGAAATAGATTTTGACAGATTGGTTTTCACTGTGTCAGTCAAATATGTCAAAGTATTTTTACAGACAGTTTAATACGGAATTATAAACCAGTTACAGTGTTTTGTCAACAGGATAATACGATTGTGCATAGAAATTCTGCAATTAGTCATTATACTGATAATAATAATAATTATTTTCCTATCAATAACAAAGTTGAAAGATTGAGGTGATCTGTGATACCAAAAATACCATAAAACGACATGAATAAACAAACAAATGTTCGGATAGACAAAGTAGTTTTTAATGGCTGGGGAAAAATTGGACGGACTGAGTAATGTTAGATTGTAAGAGAAGTAAATAAAAAATGTTTTAATTAAGATATGAGATATGATAAGATTAAAGAATGATAGGATAGGGGTTGAAAAATATGATTAAGAGATGTTGGAGACTTCATCACATTTCATTATAAACCTAAGAACTCCTTAAACGTAATCTACATTATCAAATTTATAAAATATTGTGATAATAGTTTCTGTTAAACAACTGTCTTTCCTCGCACACAGGTAAACAATATTTAAGGCAGTGTATTCACTTACTTCCGGAACTTTGACTAATTTTCATCTTCTCAGCTGTCAGCAAACAAGACAGTTAAGACAATCAGCGGTTTAAGAAACATGTACTTGCCGAGTTAACAAAATAAGCTTCATTATGATGAATAACCTTCAGATAAATGTCATGTATGCATTCAGAAATATCTACTAGTTTATGCTTTATACTACATTCATTCAAACCGTGTTTATCTTTGACTCCGATTAGGACACACTTTAACAAGTACAGTGGTAAGATGAGGGCAGTTATCTCTATTACCCTCGATTTTATTTATCATAAAACCTACTCCTTATATCAGAACAGCAAAATGCATGATTCTGAGGAGTAAAGGAACATCATAATCGGATCTCTAAGCCTTCTATCTCAGAATATCTCGAGATATATGGATGTGTTAGGTGGCTTCATGTTTTTACGTGTTTATCGGATTAGAATATCCTGCTGCACCTGACAGACCGATCCTGGAATATCTCATACGACTCAATTGCGTTTTAAACATTCTGAATGAGTGGGTGGCCGTCAGGATACCGACTTGATATGTTCCTTAGTTGTGAGGAGTTAGACACCTCCGTTTTCATACCCACACTTGGACAAAATCAGAGGATAGCTTTTTGGCCAGGTGACAAACACTGTATTTAGACTTACCAGTCACCAATGGCTGTTGTGTCACTTCTGTGGAAGTCACTGTGAAATATGCGAAATTGGATTATATATGCACGTATATATATATATATATATATATATATATATATATGTATAGAAATATTATGGTTAGTTAAATGTATACTTTAATCCCCTTTGGGATGGAACTTTATCTTACTGATATAAATTTGGTATCGAATTAAGAAGACAATTTATGTGATCTGAATATTGGCGTCATCTCTGACACACATGAATTATTGGATATCGTCTTGCGCGTAATGTCAACATTTCAACAATTATCTCCTCCTTATTTCAAAATTTCATATCTGTTGAAGTGGCAAATCGTGGATTTCGGAAAAGATGACTTTCTTTCACTAGACAATATACTCAGCAATTTGGCGATGATACTCGTGACTTGAGTAACTACTTTAAGTAGGCACTATAACTTGTTCATCACAGAAAAAATTAGGTAATTGGAACATGTCTTCAAGGCGGCAACATTCTAGTGGGATTTACGATTTGAATGGAGAGAGAGATAAATTCAGACTGCTGTCACTTCTAGCGTAGTTACTTTGAATTAATGCAAAAAGAAGTTGGAAAAGTAGAAATCTTCGGTTTACGCTAAGCCTATAGGTGAAGATGTTCCAGTCGAGTATTCATAATGCTCAGCGATTATTACAGCTCATCTGTGTCAGAAAAACGTTGAAAATTATTAAACACTCTCCATATAACAAGGCTTAAATTTTTTTCTTTTCGAATATAATTTATTGAACATGAACAGTATATTGACAGACAATCTTAACTAACCGCGAGGTGTAGTTTTCTGGACTGGCGAGTCTGTTGCTAATATAATAAAATAAAATTCAAAATGAAGAAGTCAGTAATGAAAATCAAATTAACTGGGAAATTATTCACATTCAAGAAATTTCAGACAGACAGACAGAGAGAGATAGCACAATAGACTGTGGCTAAAATAACAAGGGAGTGATTTCATCCCTTGGTAAGTAAACATCTCGTTAGAGCGAAAACCGTGAAGTGAAATCTGATGGTAATCGACTTTTATTCACGAATAAATATTTGCAGATGGAATGTGACCTATAACTTTTTACCTGTACAGCATTGACTGAAATACATAGGAAGGATTAAATATACATCGAGTATACTGTGAAAATTGAAAGAATGATCAAGGACGGCAGAGTAGTACTCAAAATCACTGTATGAATTCCTCCAGCACATGCATAAGTTTTCTATATATATCATACTAGTTAATTGAAATTTCTCACCATAAAATTCACACAAGTATGCTATATCAAATGAGTAAACTTACTTGAAGTGTTGTTTTCCGTTGGGGCTATGCCGTTGAAGTCTGATAAAATGAAAGTAGGAATATAATCAGTTCGTGAAGATAATAATAATAAGAAGAATGCAGCATGATTCGATGAAATACACGGTAAATATTATTTGTATAATTCGAGAATGGGATTTAGAATCATAGAAATACACACATTAAAATTATTCATGGATATCCAGATAATCTTTGAAGACGGCACTCTACCATTAAATATCTCTCTCTTCTTATGTTTTACCAGCTATGAGTAATATATATGCGCTAATCAAATCTCTACATTTCTAAGGTGCCAGCTGTTAAAACATGCATTTCCTTCTATGCTAGATTGAGACGGAGGTTTAAAATGCTAGTGAATCGAATGCGTGCATCTCTATTCTCATCAAAATTTTATTCAGAATAAAAAACATCCATTAAAGTAAAACTTTCTTTGAGTTGGAATAATAATAATATTATAAAAGTTTTAGAATACGACTTAAGCGAATGCTTTTTTCGAAAAATTCTCAATACACTTCACACCGAAATAATGAAATCTTAGTCATAGGTATTTGATGAATTATTATACCTAAGAAAATATGGAATCAGAGTTCAGAGATGTGAATTAATGGATGAAAGTCAAGGTGATCCTATTAGTAATAACAACGAGGATAAATTCATTTATGTGTTGATATGATCTAGGCAACTGTGAGTGTACAGGTAGAATATGCATACTAGTGAGGTAGAGGGGAAATAAACTATTGTCACAGAGGAAATTAGATAATACAATAACAATGATGATAAATTGTGAAGCAGAGACGAAAATGTACAAATAAAGCAGAGCATGCAATTGATAATATAGTCACCATTATAATTCAAATTGGATAAAAACATAAAAAAATAGTATTTACAATTATGCGGTTGGTGGTGATGGCCAAAGGATGGACAGAGAGATTGGAGAAAAACTTTTTCTGAATACAGAAATCGGGTTGAAAAATCTTTGTAGCAAATGTCCCAGCTATGTTCAGCAACTAAAGACGTACCAAGGTGTGGAGTTGAAGGATAGCCTGTGTTATAATTAAAAAAGTTGAATTTTCAGGCAATCTTGTGTCTTGCATCCACTAGGTATACCAGTACGGAATTTCTGATTGACTTTACGACTCCTCTAACTAGCCAAGTTGGACAATGCTGCAGGAATCGATGATGGGCTTGACGAAGCGTTCTATATATATATGTAACTATCTCCACGTGAACATTTACGTTTTTGTGAAGTTTTACGTAGTTGCCAGACTCAATAGTTTATCCTTCACCTGATCTTCTTTATTACACAAACGATATTTATGAAACCTGATTGAATTTTAAGTATTTTCACAATATTGAGTGCAGTTTACTCAAAATATCAATTTCATCATGAGCTGATATCAGTTAGAGGACCATTGGAAAATTTAGAAATAAACAAAATTAACCACATAAGATGGTTTTACTTTTACAGTAATGAGTAGTATCAAAATTGTGCAAAGAATAACACTAGAATAATAATAATAATAATTACAATAATAGTAATAACAGCGGTAGGTTTGTTTCAGACAGTATTGTTGATATAGTACTGATATCTTAGCGTGTTTAAGAATATTGAACCTAATCTTTTCTCTAGACATGAGAAGATCAGGATAGATCAGGAGAAATAATCCCTCCAGGATACTTACCTTTCTGACTTAATATCTATCTCAGTATCGTTAATATCGTTTATAACGGTCATGGAAGTCAACAGTGTCATTAAACTTTCTTTTACATTATAAAACTGAAGTTAACAGTCTAAAATTTCAAAGAATTTAGTTTGAGACCATTGGACAAAGGGTATTTAATGACTCCTTATAGAACGTTGTTCATCTTAGAATCAATATGAAAAAAATTAAAAGATTTAAGATAGAACACAAACATCACTTGGACACAGAGAGAGAGAGAGTAAAGATTGTAAGATGACATAATAATTGTCCCCTGAATAGATGATATCGTGGTCTGTACTTACAACATAGAAGTGAACCGTATTAATTACTCAGTGGCCATGGTTACGATTGTCTGTCTGGTAAGAATTTTTCCAATAGTATCCAAACACTTGTCAGTGTTTGAAGGAATGAAATAATGAACTAAGTGACAACGATGTCATTCTAGTATCTTTACTGAATAATGAATGACTTTATTGTCGTAATGAAATGACATTAATAAACGTATAAATAGTGTGAATAATATTAAATTTGTTATCTACCTGCGACATGAATCACCACAAACAGTAAGAAATACAGTGAGCAGTAGATCTTCATAATGCTTGGCGAAATTCCAATGATCACAGTTCAGGCATTTTTATACTTAATGGTGTTATCGTTTAAAAATAAATTTTTAAGTAGTTAGTTAATTGGCTGAACTGGTAATATCACATTGCTCTACCAATTGGATAAATATTTTATAATGATACAAATGTGACTTGGAAAGTTAACAATCTCTAATGAAACACTATTATGTGATGATATGTGAAACTGAAGAATTTCTAGAATTCTATCTGCATTTACGTTTCTTCTTCTAGAATATCTGTGAAAAGTTTGTACATTGTGGAACAGATGAATTCAGTATGATTGTATATGGTCTTATGATAGATGAGAATGTAGGTTCTATTAAACATCATTTCTTATTTAACTAATGTTCAGTAAATAAGATCAGTCAGTTTTTATGTGAATATTTTGTGATTATCATATAAACTATTGTTTGCATACCATAATTTACACCTAGGCTGGCGAAAATGCAACTTATCCTTCAGACGGAACAATGAAATCTACAGGTACATAGGTTGTGAAGCAATTCGTTTCACTCTACTGGCTGATTTTGTTTTACGCCTAGGCTAGAAAACAGAACTCTATCAAAAGCAATTAATAAACTTCATCTTGACAAATGATACAATGATGACATTTGTTGTATGTGACGCAAACTGAGATATTAAATACATGCTCAAGACTTTGAACAATTTTCTCCTAAATCTCGACTCAACTGCAGAAGTAGGATACGACTCCAATTGGTATTTCCTTTCTGTTTAAATGCTGAAGAGGGATGATAACTCACTCAGGAGGTGTACTTACAAAACTCTCCATAGAGTGTACATTTTGCTGATCTTCGATGTTTCGACTTAGAGATTCTCTGAAAACATGTTTCTAAATCTCTTGTAGTCTGAGAATAACATTCTCTTAGGATCTATGACACTGTGTCACATCAGTACACCCACACATGTTCCTTTGTTTATACGGGGCAGTGTACATAAAAAATAGCACGGTTCCCCGAACAAAGTTAGCTGCGCGATACCATCCATTTTGGGGAAGGGGTTAATAGCGAAAATATGTCAATAGTCTTATCAGAAAAAAAACTGACAAACTGAAGACGTTCAGCTTGTTTTCTAGGGATCCTCTAGTATTTCACACAGCATATCAACTAATCTCTCAAGAAGAGTAGTATCAAGACTTTTGAGCACAGATTCGGCATTGTAATGCTTATTCTCATTCTCTTGAGTTACATGTGAAACATAGATCTTTACCAGCATATCCATTATTAAATTGTTTGTCTGTCGTCTATTTAAATAAATTCAATACTCCTAGACTTTTTCTTTCGCTCTTCATACTATTTGCACCATAACACTCTCAGAGTTCCATTTGAGACCTTTTGTGGGCTTTATATCAATCGATGACGTAATCAAACACATGTTCAATCGATCCGCTTACATTTTTTTCTGCATATTTGCTCAACACTGTGATTTTGACTGATTGTCTGCTTAAGGTACTGAACATTTCTGAACAGCTGTTCAATCTTTGGTGTTGAATGAAGGCTACCGCTGATAAAATCCTGTAATAGCCTTTTGAAAATGCTCTCTGTAGAGCGCCTGTCAAGTCTCTGACTCGAAGGTAACGTATATGAAATAGTAATGTACAGGATTGAAAGCCAATAGGTTCATGATGTAAAAGACTAAATATTACTTGGGATCTGTCATACTGTAGCTTCTGGAATGATATCGCATAATGCATAATCCAAAATGGTAAGATACAACTTCGACTAAGTTAGTCAAGAGCCACAGTAATACTAATTATTTGAACTATAGTCTCGTACCACATGATGATTTAGAATGGTTGATTTCGTGGCAAAGGAAAGGAATTTATTTACTCTGAATTCACTATGGTTCAGTTCTTCATTTAGCAAATATTAAAATTATGATACGGGTGAGGTAATGTTTCTTTTCGACGAAGTCATAAATTGAGCAAATGTACATTTGTGTATTTAGAGTAAATGGTTGAGAGAGTTCGAGAACTATTTCCGTTCAGTCAGGGTTCAAATAATTAACAATACAAAAAGTAATAAACATGAAGACCGGATAAAAACACGGTAGGACCATGATTAGTGAGAAGATTAACTTTTTTGTGCAATGGGGGACTATGCTGTATCTCCACTCTGAAGAGAGGGGGTTAAAAAAGGTCGACCCCAAAGACTGCACATCCCTACTTAATCCACGTTGGTCCGTTACTGGCGGTAAATTAAATAATACGGAACCAACTGAAGAAATCAGTTCATATAGGCCGTGTTTGACTGACCTGAAGCAGTTGTCCTCTGGGTCCCTCACTTACACAAAACTAACCCTATTTCTGTTTCAGGTACCTGGAGAATCAATCAGCTTCCATGGTGTGGACAGACGGGAATTTAAAACCACTCGCACAATTTCAAGAACACACGAGCATCATTCTCCTATACACACATAACCTTCATTAGCCTACTCCCATACTATACTTAGTAATATTCTTCAGGCCAATGAGTTATCTTCACTGCACTGTGTGACCAAAATCAACGAAGAGAGAAATAAAAACGCCACTGAGCATTTAACGTCAGGATCGCCTGCCAGACTGGACAACAGGTATCACTAGGAAGAACTCAGGCATCTTGAGTGTGTCTTACAAGCAGATGCATGTCACAGCCAATGTAATCAGCTCCACGGGGACGAAAAATCTTGTATATGCATGTTGAGGTGACCCACTGCAGCCTCTTGTGTTTCACTTACTTTTAGATTAGTCATTTGGAAGAAAATGTCAATTTATGGGCTGACACACTGTGAAAGCCATTTACGGAGAATTCTAGCTTCTGGATTAATTTTAAATTCGTCATTAGGCATCAGTATTGTTTGAAAGCGACTTTAATCTTTCCGGATGTTTTCTTTCATTTCAGATTCTTATCCATGGATCTGGGTGAGAGAGAACTACTGTCTATCAAGATCCTTCAGAAATTTTGTAATTCTTCGTCGGTCGCGGCCACAAGGTGTATCTTTTAGTTCCTTGAGGAAAAAGAGTATTTGAGGTTCCGCCTTCTGCTTAGAGGATCACAACTCTGAAGACTGATAAATTATGTGTTCCGCGTTCCCTTTTTGTTTGTAGATCATCCGATCGATTTTCAGAATTTCAAGGAATTGGAAAGTTGACTCAGCTCACACTTTAAGAGTGAAGTTTATGTTATTGTGAGCATTACTGAATGTTTGGATGGGGTTTTCAAGATCTGAATTCTCACCACTAACAATATAAATGTCATCAGTTTATCAAATGTGGAGATGAACCTGATTAGTAGTTGATGAGAGCGGACATTTAGTGGCGATCCCATTATTTCTTCACCCGATCTCGTTTTGACCATTTGATAGCATTGTGTTTAAAAAATGTTTAACTGTTTTCTGTCTACTCTGTACAGAATGGTGTCATTCATTCTTTGTCCTCTCAATACTTGAATAGATTTTAGAGTACCGACAGTTTACAGTTAAATGACTTAGTTTCAGCAGTGTTGTCGTGGAGTTAAAAGGTGGGAGGCGACAGTATGCGTCCACTGATAGATGGAAGACTATTACTGTTATTTGTGGATTTAATATATAATACGCCGTAATTGTTACCAAAATCATCGTCAGAGTTGTGGTTTTCTTGTTTTATTCGTTTGTATTCAGGGTGGAACAAGATTTAGCTTCGAAGTTTTGGTGGTAGAGGTGCTTATATTATGGGATGTTTTTGTTAGCTGCTTGCCTAATTTTCACTTATTGTTGAACATACAACCAGTTAGGTTAGGTTGATACATGCACCAGTCAAGAATCGAATTCCGGACAATATATATGGTTGGCGAGCATTCTACCGGTGAAACTGGAACTCATACAATGCAACTGTCAACTGATCTCTACTTTTAAAACATGTAATGATTTGTTAAGACTTGTACACCTGTTTATTTGAGCTACTACTGGGAAGTAGTCGGATTCGAAATAAGGCACCTCGAAATTAGGATTTAATAGCATAATTTATGTTGCGCAAATGCTTTTTATGTTCATTATTACCTTCTGCTTGTAGGTAATTATATAAAATAATTCATTAGCACGATTAAGCTAAGTAGCTTTTCAAAAGCTGTCGGTAGACATTTCATTTGTTTTCAGTTTTACCATGAATAGATATCAATCAGAGAACCATTGTAAGCCATCAATCTGTAAGGATTATTACGGCTTAGAGTAGACCTCAACTCTAAACACTCTTACAAAAAATCTTCACTGTTTTACGCCCTTAGCTGTACGCTACTCAACGTGCAAATACTGACGAACTGAATCAAGGTAAAAAGACGGTATGACAAGTGTATCTAGGACAATTATATTTTACACAACGAAATATGAAATTCGATAAATAAAGAGGTTGTACAACTTATCTGCAGACGTTGATGGAGGTAGGCTCGAAGAGTGTGCAGAATGAGAGCACAACGAGAGATCGAACCAATGAACGTACGGAAAAGTCACAACTCAAAAGGTCCAAAGTGTCTCAAACCTGGGTGAGCGAGTTTAAACAAAAGTTGAAGGGTACAATGTGCACTACAAATCTGTACTGAACATATCTACGGCCTGATTTAGAATACAACGACAGAATGCTACAACCAGGACGTTCCGATTACAAGATAAAATATTAGACTATTCAATCACTGCGAAGTGATTCACTGCCAGGCCCATGAATTCTAACACTAACCCGTTCGTGATGCTTTTACGCGATCACCGGTCAATATCATGATTGGATGAACTCAGGCAACCTCATCCTTCAGCCTGTCTCTAGCAGACAATGGTTGGTGTTGTGCTAAAACTACGAACGATTAAAATTCATTGACCATTAGATCAGGTTAAATTGGTTGCGCGGTAGATGTCTGGTGCCGATGAGTCCCAAATTAAAATGGAACAGCTCTCTAGTAATTCTTTCTGGTTTCCAGCGGTTTTCTAACCCAATACCAAACAGATAGCTTC